CACACACACACACACACACACACTCTCATGGGGCCAGGTTGCCCCACCCTCCCGCCAGCCCCGCTGGCTCCAACTCGGCCCCGGCGCCGTCTCACCAAATCAGCCCTGCGAGACGGGAGGGGACGGTAGAGCACACAAGGAGCACCTGAGCCGGGCTCGGCGCCCTGCACGGCACCACACGGAAACCAGTTTTCCTGTACTTAGTTCCGCACGTTGAGCTCAGAGCTCTACAATCAGGCTGCACATCAACGCCAGGAACCCCTCCCGTGGTAACGGCCAGCGTCCCCCACTGTCCCGGCCCGGACGGCAGCCCTGAGTCTCAGCTGCCCAGGCCTGCGGCCGCAGACGTTGTGAACGCCCGGGGAGGTGAGGGGCAGCCGTGCGCGAACAACGTCCCCGAGGAGGCGGTGCCGAGCGCATCCCACCCAGCACGCAGACCCCGCTGCGGGGGCTCGCCCGCCCTGGGGTGACGGAGGCAGCTCTCGGCTGGGACCCTCTGTCTGTCCCGACGCCGGCAAGGCCACGCTGTGTGCAGGCAGCTTTCTCTTCACGGAGATGTCCTGGGCGCCCCACCCTGCCGTGGCCACCGCCCTGCTCAGCCTTCCCACCGCCACAGAGGCAGAGCTGTGTGAGCCGCCGAAGGCGGAGCATAATCACCCAGAGCTCATGGATACAGAAACACACACACACACACACACACACACGGACCACATCCCATCACATATGTGGTCTCACACGCATGCTCACACACACACTCAGCCCACACTGCATCACATACACAGTCACACGCACTGACTCTCACTCACACACATGCACACAGGGACCACATTCAATCACATACATGGTCTCACACACACACACACGGACCACATTCCATCACATACACTGTCTCACACACACACACAGAGACCACATTCCATCACATACATGGTCTCACACACACACGTGGACCACATTCCATCACATACATGGTCTCTCACACACACACACTCTCACGGCCCACACTGCATCACATACACAGTTACACGCACTGACTCTCACTCACACACATGCACACAGGGACCACATTCGATCACATACATGGTCTCACATGCACGCTTACACACACACACACAGCCCACACTGCATCACATACACAGTCACACACACTGACATACACACACAGGGACCACATTCCATCACATACACGGTCTCACACGCATGCGCACACACACAGCCCACACTGCATCACATACAGTCACACACACTGACATACACACACAGGGACCACATTCCATCACACACACAGTCTCACACGCATGCTCACACACACTCACAGCCCACACTGCATCACATACACAGTCACACGCACTGACACTCACACACATGCACACAGGGACCACATTCCATCACACACACGGTCTCACACGCACACTCACACACACTCACAGCCCACACTGCATCATGCACAGTCACACGCACTGACACTCACACACATGCACACAGGGACCACATTCCATCACACACACGGTCTCACACGCACACTCACACACACTCACAGCCCACACTGCATCATGCACAGTCACACGCACTGACACTCACACACATGCACACAGGGACCACATTCCATCACACACACGGTCTCACACGCACACTCACACACACTCACAGCCCACACTGCATCACAGTCACACGCACTGACACTCACACACATGCACACAGGGACCACATTCCATCACACACACAGTCTCACACACACGCTCACACACACAGCCCACCCTGCATCACAGTCACACGCAGTGACCCACACTCACACAGAGGCCTCCCAGACAAGGCCCCTCTGGTCCTCGCCTCGCGTCCTCGGTGCCGCCTGCGAGCAGCCACCACGGCTCCCAGCTGCGCTTGATGCAGGAAGCACACTGCAGGCCTTGAGAGCCAAGCCGGCGCGGGCAGGCAGGCGGTCAGCCGGGTCAGCCGGGGAGTCGTGCGCCCGGCTTCTCCTGGGTCGGCCTGGTGTCTGCTGGCCGCTGTCCTCGGTTCTTGTTTGCTTTTAAGCAACAGGATCTTCGGCAAAGTCACCAAAGCGCCTCAAGCTGACAACAGCATTCTGCACTGATGCACCACACGTGTGCATGGACGTCATGAGTGCAACACCCACGCGTGTGCACAAACATCATGAGTGCAACAAGCAACATGCACGTGTGTGCATGGACATCATGAGTGCAACAAGCAATGCTCACGCGTGTGCACAGATGTCATGAGTGCAACAAGCTGACACATGTGTACGATGTCATGAGTGTAATGAGCTGACACACATGTACATAAGAGCAATAAGCAACACATGTGTGTACACGGACGTCATAAATGCAATGAGCTGGCATACATGTGTGTTTGCAGACGTCATGAATGTAAAAAACAGCAATGCACACATGTGTGTGCACAGACATGAATGCAACTGACACACACGTGTGCATAGATGTCATGAGTACAACAAACAGCTGATACACACACTTGCGTGCACGGATGTCATAAATACAATAATGAGCTGACGCACACGTGTGTGCACGGATGTCATGAATGCAATGAGCAGATGCACACGTGTGTGCACAGATGTCATAAATGCAATGAGCCGAGGCACACACGACTGTGCACACACATGATACATGCAGTAACGGACAACTTCATATGATGTGACATTTGACCGACTCTCACAGAACTCTGAGCTCCCCCGAGGTCTCTGGAGTTGAAATCACCCACTGAGCGCACACAAGCACTGAAACACAGACTTCCTTGAGGGAACAGGCACTGAGTGAAAGAACCGTCCCATTAGCGTGAAGTGGCTGTAGGCGGCGTTTGTCCAAAACACAGACCCAGCAAACGCGGGCAGAGCGGGCACCACCTCCGCCCCTCAGCCGATCGTCTCCGTGATGACGGCTCCGGCCTGTGGACGCCCAGCTCGTGCGGCCACCCCCGGGCTGCGCAGCTGGCATCCACCTGTCACCAGGCTGCTCCACCAGGTAGAGGAGCAGGGGTCCTGTTACGTCCCCTCCCCTGCCACTGGACAACGCCTGGCCCCTACTGACCGTTAGCCTGCGCGAGGGAGTGCAACTTACAAACTCAGGCACTGAGATTCACGGTGAACAGCAAAACGCAGACTTCAGGCCCGTGCCGTGGTCCCTGCACCCTGTCAGACTTTCACCTTTCAGATCTATTTATTTGAAAAGCAGAGTGGTGGGGGGAGAAGAGGGGAGGCAGAGAGAGACAGAGAGAGACAGAGAGAGAGACAGAGACAGAGAGACAGAGACAGAGAGAGACACAGAGAGAGACACAGAGAGAGAGAGAGAGAGCGCACACGCTCTTCCATCACTGGCCCACTCCCCAAGTGCCCACAACAGCTGGGGCTGGGGTCTCCTACACAGCGTGGATGCTGCTTCCCGCGTGCACATTAGCAGGAGGCTGGATGGAGGCAGAGACAGCTGCTGACGCCAGGCACCCTGCGCCACGACACGCGCCCACTCCACCTTTCCCCTTAAGGAAACACGGCACGGTTTCTCTCCGCGTGTCCCACTCGCCAACTCCACTCTGCTCTGTGCTCTGGGGCCATTGATAAGTAAAACGAGGGTTCCTGGAACTCCGCACCTCCGTGCCACATCAGGCAACGGGCCCACCAAGACGGCTACGAGGTGGCAAGCACGCGGGCAGCACACAGCTCAGACGGACAGGGCCGAACACCGCTTGGGATGGTGTGCAATTTAAAACTTTGAAATTATCGTGGCCATCTCCCATTCTCACTGCTGGGCTGCAGCTGACGGCAGGTGACTGTCCTACAAAAGGCGGGAGCCACGCACCCCCGAGGAGGTCATGAGGGGCTCGCTCTGCACACCCGTACGGTGCCGGTGCCAGCGCCCCGAGAAGACCCCCACCACAGGAACGCCTCCTCTGGAAGGGACCAGCGCTCACGGAGGTCGGCACGGCCTGGGTCGGAGAGCGGAGGTGCCCGGCGGAGACACGGGCCGCGAGCCACAGTGCTGCTCACAGCTCCCCTCTCTTCCACGCTGTTCCAGGTCCACTAAATGGATTCCACGACTCGTGAACAGTCAGCGTCTGTGGGCTGGGAGGCGCAGACCCACATGCTGAGGTTTCTGACACCACCTCCATCCATCAGAACACGGCACACAGAGGAAGCCAATCCCAGGCCCCGGGCCGGGCCTCCTGCCTCGGACGCTCCGTGGGGACAGCCCTGGCACCGTCACCCACACCTCCCAGGTGGTCCCGACCTTTGCTGAGCCTGGAAAGTCAGCAGTCACAGGAAATCAAGGCCAAAGAGGCATCGCTTTGCAGGGCCGCACTGCTCATTCGCAGCAGAGCCCTCGGCGGGAGTCTCTGCCCCCTGTCTCCCCTCGCCTCCTTTCTAAGTTTACTGCGGAGCAGAGACAGAGACACACAGAGGGACAGAGCTCCCACCTGCTGGCCACTCCCCAGCTGCCCAGGGCTGGGCCAGGCCGAATCTGGAAGCCAGGAGCTCAACCCAGGTCTGCCCCGTGAGCAGCAAGGACCGGTGTACGCGAGCCATCAAGCGCTGCCTCCCAGGTGGGACAGGGGCAGGGTGGGGAGCACACCCAGCAGCTCCAACATGGATGCGGGTGTGCGAAGTGCGCCCTCAGGGCTGCACCAAACCCCACGCACGCCAGTGATCTCCAGGCACAGAAAACGCCGACGCTCCCACCCGTCTCCAACCAGGATGCCACGGAGAGGAAGAGCCACGTCTGAGCACGGGCAGGGGCACTCAGCACGCTGCCCATCATCGTTCACATCAACGCCCCAAGGACACAGGAGGCCAGCCACGTTAACTCCCCACCCAGCACCAGGATCTGGGCAGAGACGCATCCTGCTGCAAGGCTGTGGGTGTGCACACGGACTACCATGTGACCCACATCACACAGACACACGAGACTGTGGGTGTGCACACGGATGACCATGTGACCCACATCACACAGACACACGAGGCTGTGGGTGTGCACATGGACGACCACGTGACCCACATCACACAGACACACGAGACGGTGGATGTGCACACAGACGACCACATGACCCACATCACACAGACACACGAGACTGTGGGTGTTCACATGTACAACCACGTGACCCACATCACACAGACACACGGGGCTGTGGGTGTGCACACGGACGACCACGTGACCCACATCACACAGACACATGAGATGGTGGGTGTGCACACGGACGACCACGTGACCCACATCACAGGACACACGAGGCTGTGGGTGTGCACATGTACAACCACGTGACCCACATCACACAGGACACACAAGGCTATGGGTGTGCACACAGACAACCATGTGACCCACATCACACAGGACACACGAGGCTGTGGGTGTGCACATGGACGACCACGTGACCCACATCACACAGACACACGAGACGGTGGATGTGCACACAGACGACCACATGACCCACATCACACAGACACACGAGACTGTGGGTGTTCACATGTACAACCACGTGACCCACATCACACAGACACACGGGGCTGTGGGTGTGCACACGGACGACCACGTGACCCACATCAGACACATGAGATGGTGGGTGTGCACACGGACGACCACGTGACCCACATCACAGGACACACGAGGCTGTGGGTGTGCACATGTACAACCACGTGACCCACATCACACAGGACACACAAGGCTATGGGTGTGCACACAGACAACCATGTGACCCACATCACACAGGACACACGAGGCTGTGGGTGTGCACATGGACGACCACGTGACCCACATCACACAGACACATGAGACGGTGGATGTGCACACAGACGACCACATGACCCACATCACACAGACACACGAGACTGTGGGTGTTCACATGTACAACCACGTGACCCACATCACACAGACACACGGGGCTGTGGGTGTGCACACGGACGACCACGTGACCCACATCACACAGACACATGAGATGGTGGGTGTGCACACGGACGACCACGTGACCCACATCACAGGACACACGAGGCTGTGGGTGTGCACATGTACAACCACGTGACCCACATCACACAGGACACACAAGGCTATGGGTGTGCACACAGACAACCATGTGACCCACATCACACAGGACACACGAGGCTGTGGGTGTGCACACAGACAACCATGTGACCCACATCACACAGGACACACGAGGCTGTGGGTGTGCACACAGACAACCACGTGACCCACAAGACACAGGACACACGAAGCTGTGGGTGTGCACATGGACAACCACATGACCCACATCACACAGACACACGAGGCTGTGGGTGTGCACACGGACGACCACGTGACCCACATCACACAGTCACATGAGGCTGTGGGTGTGTACACGAACAACCACGTGACCCACACATCACAGGACACACAAGGCTGTGGGTGTGCACACAGACAACCATGTGACCCACATCACACAGTCACACGAGGCTGTGGGTGTGTACATGGACGACCACGTGACCCACATCACAGAGGACACATGAGGCTGTGGGTGTGCACACGGACGACCACGTGATCCACATCATACAGGACACACAAGGCTGTGGCTGTGCACACAGATAACCATGTGACTCACATCACGCAGGACATGTGAGGCTGTGGGTGTGCACGTGGACAACCACGTGACCCACCTCACACAGACACGCAAGGCTGTGGGTGTGCACATGGACGACCATGTGACCACATCACACAGGACACACGAGGCTGTGGGTGTGTACACGGACAACCATGTGACCCACATCACACAGGACACACGAGGCTGTGGGTATGTACACAGACAACCACATGACCCACATCACACAGACACACGAGGTTGTAGGAGTGCACATGGACAACCACATGACCCACATCACATGGGACACACGAGGCTGTGGTGTGCACACAGACGAGCACATGACCCACATCACACAGACACATGAGGCTGTGAGTGTGCACACAGACGAGCACATGACCCACATCACACAGACACACAAGGCTATGGGTGTGCACACGGACAACCACGTGACCCACACATCACACGAGCCATGCAAGGCTGTGAGAGTGCACACAAATGACCCTGTGACCCACATCACATAGACATGCAAGGCTGTGGGTGTGCACGTGGACAACCACGTGACCCACAGCACACAGGGCACACGAGGCTGTGGGTGTGCACGTGGACAACCACGTGACCCACATCACACAGGACACATGAGGCTGTGGGTGTGCACGTGGACAACCACGTGACCCACAGCACACAGGACACACGAGGCTGTGGGTGTGCACGTGGACAACCACGTGACCCACACATCACACGGGACACGCGAGGCTGTGAGAGTACACACAAACGACCATGTAATGCACATCACACAGACACACAAGGCTGTGGGTGTGCACATGGAGGAAGGACCACATCAACCACACATCACATGGGACACATGAGGCTGTGGGTGTGTACATGGACAACCATGTGACCCACACATCACACGGGACACGTGAGGCCGTGGGTGTGCACATGGACAACCACGTGACCCACACATCACACGGGACATGTGAGGCTGTCGCTGTGCACATGGAGGACATCACCCACACATCAAACACGAGGTTGGACAAGGGCTGTCCATGTCGCAGACCCAGACAGAGTCCTGGGCTCCCGGCTTCAGCCCAGTGAGATCAGAAAGAAGCCGACGGCCGCCCTAGAGGTGCCCCAACAATGACCTGAGCAGCGCTGGCTTACGACGGACGCAGCCCATCACTCCCGCCCGTGCCCGTCGGCTTCACCATCATCAGGCACCATCCGAGAGGGGCTCAGAGAAGGGGAGGCCGGGATCACGGCGCTGGAGGTCACAGCCCAGCGGCAGGAGGCCCGGCCGGCTCGGCCTGTGGGGACGGCGTGGGGGCAGCACCGGGCATCACGTGGCACGCAGGCCTGCTGTGCGCCTGTCTGTGTCTGTGGCCTCCCATCCAGCCACTAGATCCAACCTCGGGGGCTCCACCCTAGGGGATTCAGTCCAACCCGATCCCCTGCCACAGGCCCCTGCCCCACCCTCTCAGTGCCAGCAACAGGAGACGCTGGGGGCCGAGCCCGCACAATGTGGCCTCAGTGTGACACCGTAGCCACGCCCTGACCTGGAAGGTGCAGAGAAAGCTGCCCGCTGTCACGCCTCACTGCAAATAAACACACCTGGGCACTCAAGTCAGGGCGTGGCCACTGATAACACGGTAACGCCCCCAGGCCACCTGCGGAGGAACCTTCTAGAACCCAAAGACATCAGCAGGTTTCCTATGCTTGCTTGAAAGCCAACACCTAAGAACCAGAAGTGGGGGGCTGTGGCACAGTGGGGTAAAACCCCAGCCTGCAGTGCAGCATCCCATATGGGTGCCGGTTTGAGTCGCGGCTGCTCCTCTTCTAATCCAGCTCTCTGCTGTGGCCTGGGAAAGCAGAAGAAGATGGCCCAAGTCCTTGGGTCCCTGCACCTGCATGGGAGACCCGGAAGAAGCTCCTGGCTCCTGACTTCAGATCAGCTCAGCTCTGGCTGTCGCGGTCATTTGGGGAGTGAACCAGAGGCTGGAAGACCCCTCTCTCTCTCTCTCTCTCTCTCTGTATCTACCTTTGTCTCTGTCTCTGTCTCTCTGTTTCAAATAAAAACAAACAAAAAACCCAGATGGAACCTCAGAAATTCCTGCATTTGCGCACAAATGTTCCCATTACCCATATATGCTCATTCACCTTCAGCAAAAACAAACAGAAGACATCAGCACTAAAATACAGAAGCACTGTGTCCAGACTGGGTCTATCCCGCCGGCCTGTGTCCGTAAGGTTCTGGAACTGCCCGAGAGAGGCAGCTGCAGCTGATGCAGAGCCCGAGGGAAAGCATTTTCTGCAAACTCAAAACCGCCTTCGAGTCCTTGTTGGATACGGTCACGAGCCGTCGTAACTGTCACCTCCACAAACTCACCGCAGCCCCTCGGCCTGCACAATCGCATCCACCGGAGGCACCGGCTCTCACCGTCGCCTCACTGCCGCGCCCAAACCAAGGCCGGATGAAGGCGCGTCTTCACACTAAGTCACTCCACACTCCAGCAGGTAGGGTCAACTCCTGCAACCCAAGACAGCCACGGCAAAGCCGGCTTTGTCCCAGCGTTAGGTAATTCTGACGCTGAAGCATCGGCCACGCGTCAGATGAGACAGGGTGACAGGGCCGTCTGTCCAACACCCCGGTTCCCCGTCCAGCACCCGCAGGTCTGCATCCCCTGGTTCTCCCCGCACCCTCCCCCAGCAGGACGGCAAATCCTTAAGAACCCTGCGGGACATGTACCAGGTGTCATTTTCAACTTAGGTTCACAGGTTGTACCCCGACTCGTATTGAAAACATACATTTCCTCGCCCTGCACTTCCTTCTCCGTGGAGCATGGCTAATATTTCTCTTTTATTTCTCGCGGGTCTGACGACGCTCACGCTTTATCCCTGTTCTGCTGTGCGTCGTCCCGGCCGCCACTGGAATGCACACAGAGACACTCTCACACCGAGGGCGTGAGTGACAGCATGGCCCCGCCAGGACTCCATACAGCAGGGAGGCCCCGGTGAGCCAGGCACAGCCCCAGCAGGAGGTGCGGCAAAGACGGGGTGTGGGGGCACCCGGGGTCTTGCTCCCCCAGGGGTTCGAGGTGTCCTGCTAGGAGCCAGGGACCCACGGCCGAGAGTCCCGTCACTCTCTGTCTCGACCCTTCTGCTGTCACGCTCCAAGATCCACTGGGACCCCCTCATCCCGGCCCCAAGTCCTCCCACGGGTCATTTCTGAGGCCTCCCCTCCCCACAGCCCTCCTGGGAGAGGTGAAGGCCAGAGTCCATCCTACTCACGGCTCGGACCACCGACAGACGCCTGGGCCCACAGCTGCCACTCGCGGGAGCCCAGCCCTGGCCTCCCCACACGGCAGAACTCACCCAGGCGAGGTTCCGAGAACCAACAGCAGGAGGAGAAGGTGCTGACGGGGACTGTGAGTGTCAGGAAGGACCCTCGGGGCCAAAGCCTCTCCGCTTCGAGCAGGAAGTGGTCGGCGCCCAAACCCGCGACACCTCCGAGAACAGGGCACCGACCCGGACCCTAATTTGCCATTTCGGCCTCGCCTGAGACTTCAGCAGATTGGGGTGCAAGAGAAAGGGGGGAATCCTGATGGGCACCGGACGGATGGCCCCGGGAACGTGGGCA